AAAGTTGACCGTCCGCTGTGAATACCAGAACCTTTGTGCCTGCACTAGCGATATCCCAGATGGCAATCCATTTCCCATCCGGGCTCCATTTCAACCCTTGTGCGTCAATGGTTGGAAGCACAGTCCTGTTGACGAGCTCGTAAGACCGGGGCTCGTGGACGGTCAGTAGGTCCGAAGTCTCCGGTTTGAGCAGGATGGCGAGTTGTCTTGTTTTTGGCCGATACCCAAAGCCGAGGTGATGGGCAAACTTTGGTGTCTTAATCACTGAGCTGCGCCCGGTCTCTAATGAGTGAACACTGAGTTTAGTGTTCCACGCATGAAACACAAGAACTTCATTCTCATCGGCGCCAAAATCGATAGTTAATGCCCCCGGCTCAATGCTTTCAATCTCGGCGAATGTTTCAAGCGGAGTGAGCTGCCAGACCGAGATTCGGCTGTCATTTGCGGATAGGAGCCGATGCCGGGAGGCTACCTCATCATCTGATAAACCAGGAGAACTTTCCACGTTGAAGTATTTGAGGGATTTGAGTGGAATCTCTTTGATCCTTGCGATCTGTACCTCCTTGTTTTCCGAGGCTACATTTGAGTGAACAACCAGGCCCTTGCCACTCACGTGGGCAGCATATAGCCCATGTTCAGACAAGCAGAGATTTAAAGGGGCTAACACACAGTTATAATTGCTTAGACAAAAGATTGTGTGGACCGGAGACTTACCTCCTGATCCTGTTGACGCATCCATTGTTGGCAGTTGAGAGATGATAGTAGTGAACGTTCAAGAACTCTATCAAATTCAGAACCTCTGCACATTAGCTTCACAATATCAATCCCTTCTCACACAACATTGCATATATGCATCATTTCTTTTCGAGCCCCGATTCTCATTGAAGGACTCCAGGACTTACTGGGTTAGTCTCTGCCAGCGCCGGGGCACCTGGGCATTCATATCAGATTATGTAATCGATACGCGAATCCAATTTGGCAAAGGTCACCTGGGCAACTGAGGTTGATCAAGCAGCTCTTAAAGTGTATAATAAAAAAGGGAATATGACAAGGTAACTTTAGAAACATCAGATTCAAAAGGTCAATCTCTCCAGTGACACCACGAGCTCAACGCGTTTGCAGCTTCCAAAGTTGGAATCTCCCAGATCCCCGCGACGATAAGATAAGTCGGGAAATAGTAATTCCGGATGAGATAAGATGCTTTTCGCAAAAGTTGTTTCTCCATTGTAATGCGACTGGAGGCGATCGTTGACCCATAACCACTTTCTTTCTTTTTTTTTTTTCATTCAGGCGTCAACATAGGTATCTTCAAGCCTCTCAGCCCTTTTCTGGGCCGATTTCCCCGACAGTTCTCCCAGTCCTATCTCTCAAAAATGGCCCCAGAAACAAGCCCACCGAAGAGCATTGAGCAGACCTCCGTGGCTGCGCCTCAGACCCAGGAGAAGCTTTTTGGAAGGAAGTTTTATGAAAGTATTGGCAGCCCAAAATATGTCGTTGCCCCAATGGTCGACAGATCTGAATTCGTAAGTTCGCCTTCTAAATAGTAACATCTGCAGACCAATGTTAATGTTCAAAGGCGTGGCGCATGCTCACTCGATCCTTCATGCCGCCAAACGACCCGAAGCCTTTACTCGCATACACCCCAATGTTTCACGCACGCCTATTCGGCGAACAAGAGAATGTCCGTGCCAAACATTTCCAACCAACCCGCAAAACCGCCGAAAGCAAGGATGAATTGTTTCTAGATGGAAATCCCGCAATTGACCGGCCACTTTTCGTCCAATTTTGCACAAATAACCCAGATGAGTTCTTGGAGGCTGCCCGCTATGTCGCACCTCACTGCGACGCTGTGGACTTGAATCTTGGCTGCCCACAGGGTATCGCGAAAAAGGGACACTACGGAGCTTTCCTCCAAGAAGACTGGGATTTGATCTATAAACTTGTGCATCGGTTACACACCGAGCTCTCAATTCCTGTCACGGTGAAATTTCGTATCCAGGAGACCAAAGAGAAGACCTTGGAGTACGCTAAAATGATTCTCTCCGCTGGGGCCAGCATCATAACTGTGCATGGACGCAGACGGGAACAGAAGGGTCACAACACTGGTGTCGCAGACTGGGGCTACATCCGCTATCTACGAGACAATCTACCTGCGGATACGGTGATTTTTGCCAATGGCAATATTCTCAACTACGGCGACATTGAAACCTGTCTCGAGGCAACCGGGGCCGACGCCGTGATGAGCGCAGAAGGAAATTTATCAGACCCATCCATATTCAGCAAGCCGCCTCCAGCTGGTACTGAAGGAAGAGAATACTGGCGCGGTCGGAATGGAAAGGGCGGTTACCGAATCGACGCCGTCCTGCGACGGTACCTTGATATCATCTATAAATACGTTCTCGAACAGCCGGTTCCAGAAAGAAAGCCGCTTTATCTCCCATCTGACCCAGTCAATGAATTTGCAGAAACCACTGATACCGAAGATAATGGCCACCAGGATGGCCCACTTAAGAAGAAGCAAAAGCGGAGCAAGGCCGAGAAGGGCAAGAAGTGTCACTCTGCTAGCCTCGGTTTCATGCAGGGTCACCTTTTCCAAGTCTTGCGGCCAATGGTTGCAACTCATACCAACGTTCGAGATGCTCTGGCTACATCGAAACCAGGCGACATGGCCGCTTTTGAGCACACTCTAGCTCTCCTCGAGGAGGCCATCAAAGGTGGACTTCAGGAGTACGAAGCTTCTCCCGAGAAGTTTGAAGCACAATTCGATGAGAGTTTGAAAGGATCTAAGGCAGTGATTGCGGAATATGGAAGGCCTTGGTGGATCTGCCAGCCTCATGTTCGTCCTCTCCCCGAAGAAGCATTTGAAAGCGGAGCGATGCGTGAAAAGGGCACAAAGCCTCCGGGCAAGAATGAGAACGAAGAGCAGAATACGTCTAAGGAGATTGACAGTCCTTCTGAGGGCACTGTCACGCCAGGCGATGGTGCTGCTATAACAGCCTCCAATCTCACGCCCGACCCTCTCGTGAGTGGATAAGAATGTGAATATTCGACGTAGGAATCCTTCTGTGTCTTTTGTTACCTTCAGGTACCATTGACTTGTGTGACTCCATAGAGACTTCTAAGGTTGGATCTAGAGCCTTGTGTGCATAGCGTTGTTATCATGTTCAAAGGAATTCACATATAGATCTTTGGAATTGGAGTTTAAATCAATAAATAATAACACTATTTCTACATTCATGGATGTTATAACTTTGGTGATCGCTCCTATTCTTAGCCTCTCAATAGCACATATATATGTATAAGATATATGTATCACACCTAACAGATAACAGAGAAGGGAAAATGAGGTGACCATATATTTTTCGTTGGAAGGAAAGTGCTTATGGGACCTCTCCTTGTTTCTCACCACTCATCTCTCACCTGTCGTCTCTTCTCTTCACAGTCTTACATCTTCGACGGGTGCTCTACCAGCTTATCTTGCAACTCACTTGCTCGACACTTTCTCTACCTTGATCTCTCCAACATTATTCTTTCTGTCTCTCACTCCCCATTCTGAGACGAAGTTGTTCACGGCCCTTCGCAAGGAAAAAAATGCAGTCTTCCCAACAACGTGCCGGTAAGTCTGTGTCAAATTTGTCATTTTGATCCTCTAATCTAACACGATGCCTAGCGTGGCCGAACGCGGATCCTGCGTTGACACAAGAACTTTTGGACTTGTTGCAACTGGCCATGCATTACCATCAGCTCAAGAAAGGTGCAAATGAAGGTATGTCTGCTCTTAATTCTTTTGAGCTAACTATAGAGCTAATATTTGCCCAGTCACTAAGTCCGTGTGCCGAGGCACATCCGAGATCGTCGTTCTCGCTGCCGACACTGCTCCTCTCGCGATATTGATGCATCTTCCATTGCTTTGTGAAGACAAGAACGTCCCATACGTGTTTTTGCCTAATAAGACCGCGATTGGTCGAGCATGCGGTTCGGCCCGGCCGATTATCGCGGCCACCATCACCTCGAATGATGCTAGTGACCTGGCTCCACAGATCGAGTTGCTTAGGAACAAGGTGGATCGACTTGGAATGTGATAAGTTTCCATGAAAATGGATAAAGGCAGGAGAATCCTTGACTACTATGCTCTGGAAACATTTTGCATCTTGCGTTGAGGCTTGCGTTGCGGCTTGCGTGGAGATGGCCACTGCTCCATCTCCTTAAGCCACCTGTGATTTCCTTTCCTTGTTTGTTGCCTTTTCAAAGAAATATCGAATACAATCTCTCATGTCTTATTAGTGATAATTTCACTCTTTCGGGATCAACTGTAGACTATATCTTGTTATGATAGATGGCTTGAATCGAGATACCACATCTCACTCCTCGTGGAACACGTACCGCACGAAGAGCCCTCCTTGTCCCCGCGCTGCCCGACAGTATCATACTCGGTACTCTGTCTTGTTCGATGACTCCGCACAGGACGCCGTTTGGTCCGACAAGTTATTGGCCGCATACTTCATCCAGTGTTTTAGGTCGCATACCCTCCGCTAGAGGTACTGCTTTGTGAAAGGCATTGATCTTCGGACGTTTTGCTTGTAGCTCTTTGGAGTCACCATTTTGTTGCTTCGGCCCATCTCGCTCCCTCGTAGATTCGTCTTCGCATAAGAGACAGTGATCACGGGCAAAGGCTGCGACAGTGCAACATAGATATGGAACCAGCCAGTTTTATCGTCGGTACAGGACGGGGGTTATGAAATATCCTTTTGATTGCACTAGACTAATGTAAACAGCAACGAACAAAGACGATGAAGAAGTGAACATGTGTTCATCAAACGAGAAATACAAAGAAAAAGGCAGTAGGCACAGGTACAGTTGATGCAGCATACTAAAAGCTGATCAGTGTTGAATGTTCGGATTTGTAGCAAGGGAAATACCAAGCCTTCTCTACCTCAAGCCCACTCAAATACTAATATTAAGGTTCTACTTGCACACGTAACAATCCCTGTGTGTCCGACATGCGGACGACGCAAAACAACGTGAGTGAAGCAGCTGTTTGATAGTTTAGACCCCGGTCGCTCTCCACTTTGGGGTGCAACACTCTCGCTAACTTCACTATCAAGCTCTGGAAGGAGGCCGTCCAGCCGCATTGCTTCCTCGACCGAGGCATCCAGTTCCGCGAAATCCGAGGCAACAGCCAGCATAGTACCATCATGATCGAGCATATACCAGCCGCCATTCCTAGCCCCAACGGTACTTATTGTATATTTTCCAGCCATTTCATTGAGTTCCCGGCGAGTTTCTAGCAGACCCATTGATCTAGATATCAGCAGATACTAGGAAGATCGAAGTTACTTGTGCATGTAAGCAAGATTGAGGGGTGAAACCGATAGCATTTAAGCCAGATTACCCCCGGGCTACCTGAAGATGAGTTGTGCGGTTGAACTATCAGCCGATACCTTGAAGCGCACTCTCATCCCGAGGGTGTGAAGACCGAATCGTAGCAATGACTGCTTGGCATTTGGAGATGAGCGATGCTGTTTATAAAAGGTCTCATTTTCCTCATTTACATCAAGCCCAGTCCATCCATATAGTCTAAATTCAAGAGTCGAGCACATCCATACTTATCGCTCGCCCCCTCTCAGCCATAAAATGGTCAAAATTGCTCTACTCGGTGCCGCTGGTCAGATCGGCACCCCACTTAGTCTCCTGTGCAAAGCAGTATGTTCTCCCTAACAAATTAACCTTGGAAGCTATCACGCCCGAGGCTAAGTGTCTGACCCATGGAAGAGTGATCTATTTGATGAGATCTCACTCTATGATGTTGTTCATGTACCAGGCATTGCCACCGATTTGAACCATATCGACACCAGGGCCAGAGTCAGTGGCCATCTCCCCGAGGACTCTGGTCTCAAGAAGGCCCTCAGTGGCGCAGACGTTGTCGTAGTGACCGCCGGTATCGCTCGCAAGCCCGGCATGACCAGAGATGGTAAGAAATGTATTCATATAGTGCTTGATCAAGGTAGATTCCTGACCATGATTACTTAGATTTGTTCAGAGTGAATATTACCTACCAACAGTCGGAGTGCTGTAAAAAGAATGCGTGGGAAGTCAAGTGCTAACTGCAACCTAGACCAACGCCAGCATTATTCGAGACATCTTCACTGAGATTGCGGCCACATGTCCTCAAGCGTTATGTTGCGTTGTCACGAATCCGGTCAACTCGACTCTGCCAGTTGCTACTGAGGTACTGAAGAAAGCCGGTGTTTTTAATCCCACCCATATCTTCGGTGTGACAACCTTGGATGTTGTTCGCGCCTCTACATTTGCTGCCCATGCCTTGGGCGACAATGTTAATCCCAAGGGCTTCAGGGTCCCGGTCATTGGTGGTCACAGCGGTGCTACCATTCTTCCCCTGTACAGTCAGGCTCAGCCCTCGATCAACTTGGATGATGAAACTCTGGCGACTGTGATTAACCGTAAGTTAATGATGCCCAGAACGGTAAAAGGTACTTTACCAACCATGCCAACAGGTGTTCAATTTGGTGGCGACGAAATCGTCAAGAGCAAGCAGGGGGCTGGAAGCGCTACGACGTGCATGGCCTACGCTGGTTTCCGCTTCGTCAAGGCTCTTCTTGCAGGTAAAAGGGGAGAGTCCATTACCGAGGAGGCCTTTGTATACCTGCCAGGGATTCCTGAGGGCAAGGAGATTGCCGCTGATCTTGGAGTTGACTACTTCGCTGTCAAGATCCAGCTCGGAAAGGCGGGCGCTACCAAGGCCTTGCCTATTGGCAAAATATCTGAACGTGAGACTAAATTGCTCGAGGTGGCTCTCAAGGACCTCAAGGTAAATATCGCTACGGGCCTGTCTTTCATGGCATAATCGCTTTTGATCAGCCTACGGGAGGAATGAGAAATAGGCGTAGGAACCTGCGAGTGGATTGATGTACCTAAGGCCTCACGTGTTGATATGTGACAGAAATACGTGACCAATATCATATCTAGGTACGGGTTCTATAGTAAATTTCAAAATATATATGGGTATACCCATATAGACTACGGAAGATTTTAGAAAGGAGGTGAGATTCAGACTGACTGATCAAATTCACGACTATTATTACTGAAAATAAAAGCAATTAGCGAGGATAAAGCGGGGACATGCTGATCCCTATCACAGTATTCACACCCAAGAGCCCAGCCACGTAGGCAATGTCCTAAGCTTTGGACTCGGTCCAAGTGCCCGCTTGCTCTCTGCAACAGCATGGACCAATGCAGTTGCAAAGCCTTGGCGACTACCATCCTCGGATGACCCTGATCTGAGAGTATATTCTTCCGATAAGACTCGATGAACCTCCCATCTTGCATCCTCTTGTCCCTCGGAGGATTCAACAATGTCTTCTTTCTGAAGCTCCCACCCTGCCTTTTGCGCCACCGCACAAATCATCTGTGGGGATATAATGGATTGAACATTATCATTTCGGTCTAAGTCATTGTCTCTAGAGTTGAATTCAGCTTGTGAGATTGCTGCTAGCAGATGTGGCAGAGCGGCGATATCGCCGCGGACATCGAGGGAGTACTCCGAAATGAGAAGATGTTTCGTTCTTCCGCGGAGTGCTGCCAGCATTGGCAGCAACGCGTCGGCAGATGGCAGGTACCAAATTGAATGTACAAACATAGCATAGTCATAGATTTGCTCTGAAACGCTTGAATCGAGGAACTCTTCAAGGGTTGATTCATAGAAAGTCATTCGGTTGCCGATGGGATTCTGCCTTAGTTTGTCTTGTGTTTCTCCTAGAGTCATAGGTGCGCCTGGTGGGATTATCAGCCCGACTCTTATGCCATTGACTTAAATGAACAAACCGTAGTCCAATGGTGCCGGGTCAATTCCTGTGACATGGCCCTGGTCGCCCACCATGTAGGCCGCCACCAAGGTGAAATCTCCTTGCCCGCAACCAATCTCGAGGATCTTTGAGCCGAAGGGGATATTCCATTTGTTCAAAAGGTCGAGCCTATGTTGGATTTGAGGTTCCGATGACCCACCATCGGAAAGCTTCGCGATGTTGATCAAGTCTGGAGACATTGCTGCTTGTTGCACATCATAGAAAACTTGAGGCGATCAACGATTATATATGTCTGCCCACCTGCTTGAATGCCACCTTCTACTCTGCTCCGTATGTTGTAGATTGCAGTGAGATCATTCCCAAAGACAAATGAGTCACATTTTGAATAGGTCACATTATAAATCAAGGCTTTCAGTAACTGAGTCAGACACCAATGTCGCATTTGTCTTAGTGCCGGGATAAGCCCGGAGGTACCGCGGACAACCCGACGACAGGGGTTCAGGAGGGGGTGAGTCTAAGATTGGAATGAAAAGAAGTAAACAGATAGTTGCAGCAAATTTGGGGAGAAAAGAGAGGAAGAAAGGGAAATTCAGAACAGGGAAATACCTTTAGGTGAATATAGTCTAAGGTTGTTAGACTAACACTACATACATACCCCTTTGTCATAGCAGAGAGCATCAAGGTTAGCTTTCTCGACAACCAACCATGTGATATCTCCTTTCAGTACACATCTTTTTGACAGATACGGTATGTTGTAAAGAGTATTTACGACCTTCCAAGCCTCTAAGATCATATTACTTCTCGATCGGATAATAATATTGTGATTCTCTAAAGGCTTAGAACAGCGGGCAGTGAAGTCCGTTCTATAGCTTTCCTCGATTCAAGAATCGCACAGGAAGATCAACATGTCGCGCCCGCAGATACTCCGCCACATTCTTCCCCAGGAAATCGACCGTGGTGGTCACACCGACACCCCGGTCCAGCAGATTGCGAAACAGGAAATGCACCGCATGAAGGCTGGGTAACTCAAAGCGCTCAATTGCCAACTTCCGGTTCTCGTGGCCAATATCTCCCAACAGCTCTTGCGCTTTGTCAACAGACAGCAACACCCGCAGCCATTGGTACTCGTCACGGTGACGCACCCAGAAACCGCAGTTAGCGTCGGCACCTTTGTCCCCAGAGCGTGCATGAACAATCCAGCCTAGAGGGCCACGAGTCGTCGGCCCAAAGTCGCGGGTAAGATCGACCGGTCCGTTAGTGTTAGTAATGGGCTGCGAGGGTTGGCGTGATGGATATGTCCTGGTGTTTGCCGGGGGTGAGATATTGAGAGTCCGCGCGGATGCCGCCGGCTTCCAGGGCATGTGAACGCGGTGCTGGACTGCGGATTGTGGCAGCAAGCTCACATAGTACTCAAAAATGGCACGCGGAAATCCCTGGCGCATATCCAAGTGAAACGTAGCGCCAGGGTAACCCTGCATGATGTTATCGGTGATGGGTTTGAGGAACCGTGTTGGTGCAAGGTCCTCTGCATGTCGTGCCTGTACAACGACGCGCAGCGGCACAGTAGCACGGTTCTGGTTCTGCGGGTCAGAGAGGGAAGAGCCTAATAAATCAAAATTGAGCGATGTGTATTTGTCCGAATAAGGTGACAACAATTGGCGAATCTGTGCCTCCAGCATGCGAGCTTTGGCTTCGATATCCAAACCGGTCAAAAACCACCATGTCTCGGCCTGGAACCCACCTCGCGCAGTGATACCAACCTTAGTGGTAGGCGGAGGAGGACCGGATCGCACCCCATGAACAGCGACACGATTGACGCCACGCTGTGAGAAGTGTATACCATCGAGGACCGCAGTGACATCGGAGTTGAAGTACCAAGGTCCTTGTATTTCATAGAGCAGTTGGGATGTGCAAGTATCGACAGTTACAGTCCCACCAGTAGCATGCGCTTGCTTGGTGATCACAACGTCACCTTCGGCAGAGATCTCGGCGATGGGATATCGGATATTGGTCCAGCCATCTCCATCTGCGTGCTCTAGGGCTTTGAAGCCTGTAAAGTTGCCACCGCAGACATAGTTGCTGCACTCAATCAGATGGCCTGCCACAAACGCATTCGCCAACTTGTCAAGCTCATCTCGCTGCCAGCCATGGTACCAGTAAGCAGCTCCGATGACTGGTGAAGCATCCGAGACCCGCCCGCATAATACGATGTCGGCACCATCTGCGAGTGCAGCTGCAATGCCGAGGCCACCGAGATAACACTGCGCATAGATAGGCTCGAATGACCAATCTGCCAATCGCTCGCCTGTGTAAACGTTGCGAAATTCAGACCCGGAAGTCAATCCCTTCTGGACAGTAGATAGCACTTCATCCCCGGAAACCCATGCAATCTAGGCATCCAAATAAGCAAATTTTGATCAGCTCTTGGCAAGGCGCTGACTGACCTTCAAACCCAACTTCTTTGC